TCTATCTATCTATCTATCTATCTATCTATCTATCTATCTATCTATCTATCTATCTGTTTAGCCTATCCATCTATCCATCTATCCTTCTATCTATTTATCTATCTATCAATCTATTTATCTATTTGTCTATTTATCTATCTATCTATCTCTCTATCTATCCATCTATCTATCTATCTATTTATCTATCCATCAAACCAATCGGTAAGAAAAATTATTCGTAGAACTATACTGGAGATAGGTAAACTTAATAAACACTTTTGTTTTCAGTTATCAGGTAAGTTTTTGCTAGCTCCAAAAAAATGTTTTTTTCTTGGGGGAAAGAGCAGGGGGGGGGGAGGGGGGGAGGTATGAAAAATACATTTGTTGTGCCTTGTTAGCCCATAGTAATATTATCATCGTGGGCAGAACTAAGAGAGCGTCAAAGGCCTAAATTCTCTCCCGCACAAGTTGAAGCGTGCCTAAGAGCCGTGGTTGCCTAGGACGCTCCGCCATTGTGGGGGGCAGGTAAGGGGAGAGAACACAAACCTCTGTGCCAAAACTGGTGGTGGAACGGGACAGAGAAAATAGTCGTGGTTTCTTCATTCACTGCCATACAGCGCAGGCGTTTCGTCTTTTCTTTCACTGGAGGTTCTCACGAGTGGTGTTTCGCTCAGGGAATAAATTTGATGATTCAAATGGATTTGCGTGACTGTCAAACCAATTTGCAAGTAGGACAAATTGATTGAGAGGTGAATCTACCGATTTTCTATAAGTAAGGACCGAATTTGAATAGATTTATAACTCAATAGACAAGAGAAGATCGGGCTCAAGTAGGTAGTTAAGCTTGTCAACAGAACGGAGAAAATCAAGTAACCACTCCTGTCTTTGTAAGGTTTCTAAGGTGGTGTAAAAGACTGGCATGAATAACAGAGAGCCATAATTCTGTAGTGTAGTGTCAGTTTGTTCACTTTTCTACTGTCGATTCTTTTTATCAGGTGTTGATCTTTGGTTCTTTGGTACCGGTATGTGATGTTGATTTGCTTGGTGGTCGTAGATCATTTAAGTGGTCGTAGATCATTTAAAGAGACCTGGTAACGATGTTTTGGGTTTGTTTTTGTTTAGGTAGGCTAGGCTAATCTCCATTACGTCTGGTGTGTGTGTGTGTGTGTGTGTGTGTGTGTGCGTGCGTGTG